ACTCTGCTCCCCGGCAGTTTGGCATGGCAATCTGGGCACCAAATGAGGGAGGAAGAGGGGGAAAGACACAAAGATGCTTGATTAGATCCCAGAGTCCCTTAACTCCACACTTGTAAATTCCTTCATCTGTCACGTTGACGTGATGAGTGTACGGCCTTCGTGTTACCGTTTAGTCACAGCCCATGTGCTTGGTGACCTTGTCACTTTTCAGCCCTTTTTCAGCCACTTTTCTTTAGGTCTGCAGCTGGGATGAATTTTTCTAATAGCATAGAGAAAGAAACCTGCAATAAGGATTTCTCGGTTGGGTTTTTGCAGCATTTCAGTATAGTGCAAGTTGGGGGAAGAAATGTAAAGGGCAGCATGGACTGTTGTGCTGTGAAGATTGGGGTTAGACCTCAGAGCGCCTGCATCATCAGTGCTTTGCGTTTCTTAATTTTAGAGTTGTGACTGGTTCAGTTTTGCGCCATGCTCTGGCTGTGTGCAGGCTATTTTTATTCTCCCATATTTGTACTTTATAATTTTCAAGTTGCACCATAAATAGTGGTAAGAACTACTACCTATGTGACACACGGGTGTTGCATGTTACCCCTCCGCCGTCCCTGGGCAGCTACCACGGTGCTCTGATGCTGGTGACCTAGCCAAGCAAGCATGGTGCCTCTTGCCTGCCCTGGCCCATCCAGCAGTCTGAATCAAGCACGGCAGAGCATAGGATCAGTTTAATTTATGGTGCTGCCTGATCTGCACTTCATGGAGCAGTTTTTCTGTGTGCAAAGGAAAAAGAAAAGCTGAACATTGAGGGGATGGATCCAGTTGGAGAGGGCTGTTTGGAGTGTGACTCGATGCCGTGGCACATCCTTGCAAGGCACAGCCGAAGGGAATATTTCCATCACTCTCACTGGCATGATAAGGACGAGGGTATCTATATTGCTTCAGTGTACACAGTGTGACTTGGATTGGTGCGACCTATGTGATCTCAGCTCCTTGCATGAGAGCGACAGCGCTCTTCTGTTCGTGGAGATGTGTGATCTGATTCCTTATCCAGGTTCACGTCTGTTTGGGCTCCAAACCCCTTTTCTCCTTTCACTTAGCCTCAAGGTTTTCTGCGTGCCCAGTTCCAAGTGAACATCCTGAAAGGGTTGGGCTCCTTGATTCATCACTAGCTTGTAAGCCGAAGAGGTCTGGTTCTCCCTAATGTTGTTGCCAAATGGTCTTGTTTTATACTTGAATGAATCATAATGGGGAATAACTCTAGGGCAGAATCAATGCTGCTGCAGCATGGGAAGCCTGGAGGGCTCCAGTTACTCCTTCACCCCGTCTCTTAGCATTTTATATAGAAACTGGAACACGGTAGGGCCCCGGGGTTCAGTCGGCACTTGAGGGAACCTTTCGGACCTCTTTTTCTGTCTCTTTGCCCTTCCTTCCCGTAATGTGGTCCTTCCCTGTCCATTAGAAACCAGCAACACAGTTCACCTCCCTTTGAGAGAGCTTTCTGTCTCCATGTGCAGGGCCAGCAGAGGAAAGAGAAATGGAAGTGTGCACGTGCCTGCATGTTCAGCCTTCAGAAATTCTAGCATTTGTAGCTACGATTAGGTCCTCGGAAATATTTGTAGAAAGTTAGTGATTGAAAGGTGTGGAGATGGGGAGAATATTTTGGAAGGAGACGCAAGGAGAGCTGAGGAATGTGCTTTGTGTCCCTTTCCAATGGAAAAAGCAGCTCGATGCACTTTAAACCCAGTCTCCTGCTCCTCTGCACTCCATTATCTTTCCCCCATCCTTGTAGGTGCATGGAGAATACCTGCTTTAAGCAGGGTTGTGGGGCTCTGCCGGAGAGAAGGGGGTGGGGAAAAAACCATTTGGCCACTGCAGGAACACGGATGTGGCACAATTGCGGCAGCTGAGGAAATATCGCTGCACGGGCTGGAAGAAGCCCCAGAGGAGAGCGGCTACGTGTGAATTATTCATGCTCACTAGTGTGAAAGCAATAAAATAAAATTAAAATTGAAATATAAACATACATCACGTTAGATCTGCGCGGAGAGAGAGGAGCCCGGCTGCTGCAGACTGAGCGTTGCAGGGGATTGGGGAGGTGAAGCCAGGGAGACTGCAGCCTGCAGTGTCACTTCCCGGAATAACAATTGATGTAAATTGGACCTGAATAGCCCAGGCTGCGGGTTCTCGGCAATCCTTGCATGCAGTCATTGGGGGCCTCCAGCCCTGCCTTGCGGGAATGGGCTAGCATTCCTAGTTTTGATCTTAATTCCTGCATTCATAACACTTTACCCTCCCCTCGGTGTACACACTGGGCACAGAAGAAGAAATGTTCCTTGCATTATGCAGCTACTGTCTGGATTGACCCTTTGGCCTCCTCCCCTTTGCAATCTCCTGGACCCACTGGGCGATCTGCTCCACAGGGCGCATCTTTGTGTTCCCTCTCGCAGGAGCACACAGGTGCTTTTTTAATTACTTACGGAAAAGCAATTGAAAAGCAGCTCGATACAAATCCCTTAAGCCACTATTTGATGGAGACGCTGGGGAAAGCTGCTGCCCAGCTAGGATCCTGGAACATGGGCACCATCTGTGATCCTGCAGCTCCTTGGCCAAATTGCATTCCGAGCCTTTCTTTCCTGCACTATTTTTCATTAAATGAATTGAGTTTGCTGGAAATCGCCTGGCCATAAATATTCCCTCCCGCTCAGCACAGTCAGGTTATTACTGCTCCCCAAGTTGGTGCTTCGTTGCAGAGCAGAAGGTGGCCTGCACTCCTCGTGAAATGGAGATCTGGGGTGGGAGGGGGGGAAAAAAATCCCCTGTTGGGGGAACTGGGGCAGCAGGGAGCTCTGCAGAGAGCCTCCTCTCTCAGCTGCTTTGCATTCAGGGCCATAAATATTTTAATGCTGCTAGTTACAAATGAGAGAGGGAAGAGGCAAAGCAGTACCACACACGGTTTAATTCCTTGCATTTGTGCTGAGAAAAGGACAGAAATGTAATCGGATGGCTTGCAAAGGGTGGGGGGGAAGGTGTTGGGAGGAAGGTTAAGTGTTTTTAAAAGCCTCGTCCTGGAAATGTTCCAATTACATCATCCTCGGACTACAGAGGAGTGGAAATCCAGCAGGAGAACAAAGCAGGGCGAGAGCCTTATGCTTGTTGGAGGGCCCAGCTAGAAGGGCGCCATGCAATTCTACATACCAGAACAGAAGAAAATGCTGTTTCCTCGGGGTGACAAATCTGGATGCTGCTGATGAGTTAGAGGCACATGTGGTCCGGTACTTCTGTGCTGGGAGAGAGGACTCTGTAAGGGGTGCGATGGGCTGGGAGTCCAGTCAAGAGAATATGTTCGTATCCAGCCTCTTGCACAGCTGGATGCAGAAATGAATGTGGACATTTCCCACTGTCCATTTGAATTCTGGTTTGCTAGTCCAGCAAAGTGATAGTTTCATAGTTGGTAGGGTCGGAAGGGACCTAAGCAGATCATCTAGTCCGACCCCCTGCCATGGCAGGAAAGGATGCTGGGGTCAAATGACCCCAGCTAGATGGCTGTCTAGCCTTCTTTTGAAGACCCCCAGGGTAGGAGCGAGCACCACTTCCCTTGGTGCAAGTTTTCCCTGGTTTAGTGGTGCTTCCTCTAGACCCACGCATAATTGTAGCTGTTTAGCCTCTTCCTTACTTCCCATGACCTCTCCTTCCACCTTGCATCCCCTGCAGTTCCACTTCTGAAGCTGCAAACACAAAGATCATTATTTGGTGCTGTAGACCTGGTGTGCGTTTAGTCACTGGAGGCAGTGGAAGGACATCACTGGGCTTTTGTTTCTGGCATTAATGTTTTATGCTTTAACCATTACGCCCGCAGCTCTAAAAGTTTTTTGTGACAGCCATTTAGGAGCAATAAATCATGTTTAAGTGTCCTCTCTGCTGTTTAAATTTATTTTCTCAACAAGCTAATAAATTAGACTCCTTCATTGCAGTGTAATCAAACTCCACGCCGAAAAAATAGCAGTCAGATTTTTGCCCTGCAGGCAAGTTGGCTGATGGCTCTCCTTGATACACGTCTGTATTTTTTTTATCCTGGCCTCTTTTTGTACGGGCACAGCTGGATGGGTGACCCCATTGCCAAGCAGGCCAGTCGGCTCTTAGCTGCATCCAGAGCGGGTCAGTGCAAAGCTGGTTTTCTGCCTGATTACCCCCTGCCTCCCAGCTCCTTTTAGGTAGCCAGTTTACTTCTGGTAATGGAAACAGCTGAACCCTGTGTGCCAGCAGTGAACAGGGTTGGCATTTTGGGTGCTTACACTTGATGGATTTGCGGAAAAAATAATACCCAGCATCTTGATTTAAGATGATGAGGATTAGCTGCTGTGCTCTAGCATTAGATTAGCTTTGTGTCTTTTTGAGGCCTTTCATTCCAGAAGTGTAACGAATCATTTGTCCTCCGTGGCAGCAAGCACACCAGGGAACCAGTTAATGGCAATCTAGAACCTTTCACCTCCAGGCTTTCAGTGCAGCCCCTTTCCAAAGTGACCAAAATCGTTACCCCCTAATGACTAGTGTTCACAATCTATTACAGCAGAGAGAGATCTGTCTGGCACCTCAGTTGCCAATAGTTGGCAGTCTTGTCGGTAGGCTCAGAGGAAAGGCAAAATTAAATGTAGAGATCGGATCTCAGCAGCCTGTTTCAGGATCTTCCAGGCCGGGTATGGGAGGGGCAGGCAGAGCAGTGTCGGATGCTGGCATGGTCCCTGCTTCTGCCGGTCTTTAAGGAGAGATGAAATACTTGGCTCTTAGAAACTTGGAGGCTGTCGGTCTTGACATTTTTCAACCAGTTGACATAGGCATGGGCATGTGAACATACCTGATACTATTATCGGAGTTAATGAAGTCGATATGTACAATGTTATAGGTGTTTAAGCTCCCCATGGGAAGGGGAAGCCTGTTGGACAAGAAGGAGTAAATTGCTCCTGTCTGCCTGTAACACCTGACTGACCCTAGTATCTGGACCTCTTTTGCAGTGCACTTGCCGCAAAGACATGGTGAAGATTTCCATGGACGTCTTTGTGAGGGTTCTGCAACCAGAACGTTACGACTTGTGGAAACAAGGGAAAGACATCGCTGTCTTGGATCACATGAAACCCACGGCTCTGACCAGTCCAGAGCTAGACGCCTGGAATGAGACAAAGTCTGAGCTGAAATCTAAACTGCTCCGTAGGTAAGGCGAGCCTGCTATCAGTTGGGTACTTACATGCATCTTAACTAAAATATTTTGGGCTGCTTTTGTTGTCTGAAAGAGAGCTACCAGCTCCAGAGTGCCCGAGAAGGTGCTGTATAGCCTTAATATTGCAGGCTCTTGTGGGCTTGGGATTTCATCGGTATGTCTCTAGCTGAAAAAATACATACACGGGCTCTAAACTTTGAGGCCCAGCTGGTGGTCTTTCCTTCTATTAGTGCTGCACTGATCATCATGATAGAAGGACCCTGAAGCAAGTGGCTAAAGGTCAGGGCATGTATCCCATGCAGAGCATTTTTGACATTTGATGACTTAAGGTTTTATGTTCCCAGGGAGGAGTTTTACAGATAAAGGAGAAGGGCGGACACTCCTCTAACAACCCAGACCACAGTATCTAGTCTCCAGATATACCCAATGCCTGGCATCTTAGAGGAGTACATATTAAATCCATATTGCATTTGGTCCAGTGTGCAGTGGTAAACTTAACCTGTCAACAGTGGTGAGTAAAAGCATAGGCAGATGCAGATGTGCAGTCCAAGACAGATCTGCGATGGCACAGAAGCATTGTTCTGAGTGTTGCTCTCCCAAATGACAAAACTTGCAAGGAAAAGTGCTAATCTTTCAAGTTAGGATCCAGATATTAAACCTTATAAGCTCAGGTGCCCAAACCTTGCAGTAGTTCGGACTTTATTTTACCTTGTATATTTTGGTTGCATAAAACACTCACGTTCTTCTTTGCCCTTCAAGTGTTATAGAGACATGTTTCCCATGTAGCTAGGAACTTTATGCCCCCAACTTCTCCCATCCTGAAAATCAAAATTTCATACAGTAGGCATTATAGCTCCACCTGCCAGGGAACAGGAAAAGGAAAGACTGTTGGTCACACAGGGCATTTTTACACATGCTCCGGAGTGGGAGTCGGGGTGGGGGTGCTTTAATTAGACTGGCTCCGAGAGCCACTGATGAAAGTGCCTGCAATGTCTTGCGTATCAGCATCCCCGTGCTTTAATGTGGCAGCTGGGGCGCTTCAACTAAAGCTCATTAAACAAAGTACAGGGGTTCTGCTGGAGGCGCGCTAATTAGCATGCTCCAACAGACTTGATTAATTGAGTCATCTCCAATGCACTGTAATTACAACGCATCAAAGCAGCCTCTCTGCACATGTACAGGCACCCGCAGAGTGCTTCTACCTTGGCTCCTTTCCTCTTCCTCCAGCCTTTTTTTTTCTTCTTTTGAGAGTATGGAGTTGTCACTCAGCCTTTTCTGCTTTTATATCTCACTGGGTTTCTCTGTTTGAGATGAAAGAAAAAGAGATAGTGGAGAGAGAAAACCTCCTTAAAAGTATTACAGAGAACTGTTTTGACCCTGTGAATGTTTCAGATTTCCAAATCACATGTGGCTGAGTCCCTTTTCCTCCCCCCTGCCCCATTAGGTCACTGTACCCTCTTCTTTAGGGTGCAATGAAAATGAAGGTGGTGCTAAATCTCTGATGCAGCCAGAGTAGCCAGCATTGGAAGAGCCGGATGCCTTCAGATCCTGGAATTGCAATTCTGGGCTTAAAGTACGATTGCTGGACCTTGGGGCTGCAGGGTCCTATAGAGTTATTTCTGATGAACTCCACGCCTGGCTGCTTATAATCCAGAATGACGCTGCCTAGCTCTTTCATTTTTTTTAGCAGAGTGCCTTTGTTCTCATTTCCCTTAAGCGACACAGGAACAAGACACAGAATGAGCGTGCCCACACATAATTATCAGAAACAGTTCCTTGTGCAGCGTTTATCTTGGCTCCCCAGGGTCCTCGAGCCCCTGGGAGGACAAGCGTTCTCTCATCGTCTTTGGATGTTTCTTAGGCAATTTCTCAGGCAAAGGGTTTCATCCAGTGGCAGGTACCATGCTCGTAGAGCACAGGCCCAGCCCAGCAGGCTTGCTGCTGAGCTCTCACTGGCACGCTGACTACTGTGCTTCCCTCGTAGCTGCTGCGTTTGTGTAGGTCAGGGGTCGGCAACCCCCGGGACGCGTGGTGAACATGGCATACGAGGCCATTTTTCTTGGCGTGCATTGGGGCCGGAGAGGCAGCAGCTGTTTGCAGCCTCCTGGCTCTAGGTAGCTGCTGCCAGCCAGGAACCCGGGCTGCTCCCAGCAGGCAGCTGGGATGCTGTAAGCCCTACTGGGATCAGCCCAACGGGCGCAGTGCTGGCACTTGCTGCGTGGGGGGCAAGGGCAATAAGCGGGGGCAAGGGGCAGCGGGGCTGGGGGCAAGGGGCACAAGCAGGGCATCCTGCCATGTATCCCCTACCCTCATTTTGTTTTTCTGGCATGCCGGCACTCCGGCATCTTGCAGGGTAGGCACTGTGGGGTTTTTCAGCACTCCAGCCAAAAAATGTTGCCTACCCCGGTGTAGGTGCTTGTATTGCAGCACTACGGAGAGCTCTCAGCAGCTGTCCCATCACTTCCCATGCTTTTTGCTCCTCTCCCCTCCTTTTGGCTGGCTCTTCTGGGGCTATAAGAAGATGTCATCGTTGTTGTTGCTCCAGTTGTGCTGCAATGTGTCCCATAATGAAGACTGGCATGTCCACATATCACCTTTCAAAGTGGGTTTAAAGAGTAGGGTCCTAGTGGGGTAAGCTGACAGTCAGCTGATTGTTGGCCCTGGCTGGCAGGGGCCAAAAATCAGCTGATTGTCAAAATCCTGTGCCCAGCAGCTCTGGTTGGGCTGCCAGGGTATGAGAGGATCAAATGCTCTCTGTAGTGGAGGAAAGCCAACGAGCTTCCTCCCTTGGGGACTTAAACCCTGCTGGGAGCCTCTGATTCTCTTCACCTTTGCCAGCATTACACGCATGGTTTTCAGACATCCCTGGGATCTGGGGACCCTGGGATCTGGGAGTGTCTCTCCAATCCCAGGGTCTCTGTGTGCCAGGGATTTCTTAAAAAAAAGTGCTGTGGAGCTGAGGCTGACAATCAGTTGATTGATGGGCGAGTCGGGACCTTTTAAAATCCATGTGTTTGGCCCAGCTGGGCTGCACACATGGTATTTATACATCCCCGGCACACCGGGACCATCCTCCATTGCCAAAGAACGTCCTTGATAAGTGAGTCTGTTAGATGGTCATGGCTTTTCAGCTCGTAACCATCAACATGGAGGCGCAAAGCTGCCCTTAGAGGCTGTGTTCATATCACCTCTCTGTATGGCATTCCTCTAGGTCAGTGGTTTTTCATCCCCCCTGGGGGTCCACAGACTATGTCGAAGGGGTCTGTGAAAGATGACTACGATCAATAAAAAGAATGCGAAGACCCACACTTGCCATTCAAAGGGGTTCTCGTGTCCATTTGAAATTTCCAAAGCGGTCTGCGCCTCCCATTCAAAATTTTTTAGGGGTCCACAAATGAATAAAGATTGAAAACCATTGCACTATGTGAACACCAGTATGGAGACTTACTGCCTAGTGCTTGGGCCAGAGTGCCTAGGAAGCAGGCTCTCAGAGAGGTGGGGGTCTTTCAGGTTGCCGTCTTTTAGCGGGACATAGGGTAGAGCAGAGAATTTCAAAGAAAGGTTTCCTTGACTTTGTCATTCTTTTGTCATGGCTATCTTCTCTCTCCTTACCTGTCAGAGAAGATAGGGTCAGGTCAGGTTGAGGCTTTTTTCTCTTTAGTAGCCATTGGACCCAGCAATTTGAATTTTAAACTTCCATGTCCTTGGTTCCTTTATGGCCTAGTTTGGTCAGAGTATCCTGATCCAGGCTTCCATTTTCAGGAAGAAGCACTGCATCAGTTGGGCATCCTGCAGGATGGTCGGGATCAGCTTCTGGTTAAAGGTCCCTCTTGAAGGGAAGTGGCCAGTTACCCGCTTCCATTGCACATGCTTAAAAAGTCACATGCTCTGTTGCTCTCCTGTATGCTGAGCCCACTGCACACACTGGGCAGCTCGCACTCCTCTGCCTTCCTGCTCCCTCTCCAGTCACTCTCCCAGTTCCTGTGTATTCCCAGAGACTCCATGCAGTGTCACCGAGTACCTCTTCCCCCGGCTGTCCAGCATACCTGGGGGGGAGGGAAAGACAAGTGGAGGAATATCACTGAGTTGAATGAAAGTCTTCACTTTGAGTGGCTATTAGAGGCATGTGTTTCTCTCTAGCTTTGATTTCTCTCCTCCTTCCCCCCACCAAATAAGTGTTGGATGTCAAGCCTGCTCAGGTGGCTTTTGTAAATCCCACTAAGTGCCTGTCTGCATCTTTGGGCTCCAAAAATACCCTTGTAAATCTGGCTTTTTTATCCCTGAAGGTTTTACAGTGGTCATGTAGACTTGCCTTCCTAACTGGGCAGCTTCTACTTGTAGGGCTTCGTGGTGTACTGTGAAGAGGCCTGGAACATTTCTGTGTAGCCTGGGCCTTGTTATCTGGGTTGTGCTGCTGGAAATCGGGGTTTAAAAGCTTCTAAAACAATCCTTGCTTGGATTAAAGACTTGGTCAGCATGTCTTGTAATCAGGCGAATAAATCTCTCCTGTCTGTCTGAACCTCTAGAGTTGGTGCTGCCACCTGAGCAGAGACAATATATGTGCCAGTTTGATAAATGCAAGGCCAAAATTTGGCAGCTGTGGGCTCCACCTCTTGGTACGTTATTGTACTATAAAGTGTCTCATTCTTGTGGTTATGAAAATACCCTGAAAACATGAACTGAATATAAACCCGATGTGCTGAAGTCTGCATGAGTCTATAGATAGCTAACACAATGGTTCTCTAAGGGCCAAGTTGCCCCCGCTCATCTCAATTGGGCATTAATTCGGAGACCTGAAGACAGCCATTTACATTTCATTTTCAGCTAGCATATGGCTGATTTTAGCAGAAACATCCAGCGAATGCGCTTACCCCACAATCCCAAGCTACCCCTTGTTCCTCTTCAGAAGCCACAATAACAGCGCTTGGCTTCCTTTACTGCACTATATATTTTTCATATTTATTTTGGGAAAAACTTCTGTTGTAAATGAGATA